AAATCAAGAAAACTATCCCTTAAACCAGATCAATACACTCACCAAGTTCCTTCACGTTATTTAAAAATTTACGATGGCGTAGGAATTGAATTACGTGCTGTTTTGAACCCTTGTCACTTTTCAATTATTAGCAGAATCATTTTGGATCCCTTAGATAGGATATGTTTGGTAGGGGGGGAAGAAATAATTTTTGGGTTCTGTATCGTCCTCTCACTCTCTCTCTAACTTAATATTATTTTATTTTATTTTCGTCTACTTTCGTTTTGGACCATAAATATAGATTATTTTTTATTATATTTAATTTAGATTTTTTCAATAAAAAATAGAGCAAAACAATTACAAGGTGCCAGAGAGAAAAGTCATAGCTGTCTTACCTTATAAACATTTTTTTTACTAAGCAATATTGTTCATCAAGCAACTCTTATCACAGTAAAAAAAAAAACATGTTCTAATTCTCTTTTCACCGTCTCAATAAAAAGCTAAGCTAAAAACCATTTTTTTTACATTTTCATATCTAATAAAAGATATAAATTTAAATTTATTATATATCTAATATAATTTTTTTAGTTAACAATATAACTTTCTTATGATGATTTTTAACTTAAATGAAATAAAATTAATAATTAGATTATTATTAATATAAAATATTAAGACAATTATCGTAAATTATAGTTATGATTTTTCACGAAAATAGTTACAATATTGATGCACTTTTTACTTTTTTAGGGAAAAAAAATCGTGTTTTTAACCAGTGAATATGTTTTCCAACTAATTTTTCATTAAGAAACTGCAAAAGAAAAGAAAACAAAGAGTTTTGAAGACGTGATAACACTCCAAAATACAGGCGTAGAGGGCTGCAAAGTTCGGAGACAAAGCCAGAGCAGAGAGGTCACAAAAGAGACAGGGAGCGGCAGAGCCGTTGCGTCAGGCATCATATCTACCCATCCTATGAAAATGAAATCTACCTCCTACTTCCTAGTTCCTACCGCTGTAAAATCTTTCTTTGCTCAACACCGATTTACCATTACCTCCAAAAATTTACTTTTCCATGTTATCTCTGGCTGGGCAACAGCTAACCCTATATGCACCGGCAGGCTTTGGTAGGTGTATTAAATAGTAATAATAAATATTTATTTATTTATTTATTCATCAAATCAATCACGTCATTCACTGTGTTATCCACCTGCTACTTGGGCTACAGCTAACCCTATATGCAAACAGCATGCTGCATTCTCTGCTCCCTCATTACATCTGATTTTGCTCTGCTTTGTCAACTGTGCAGTTTCCTTCCTCCTCTTTTTTTCCCCCGTAATGGCCCACGTGTTTTTTTGGTTTAATAACTCTTTTACCGAAACCAGCCAAAAACCAAGTTAGGAAAGGAAGCGGGGTGAGGTGAACTCCACAATGTCGAGTTGAAATAATAATAATAATAATAATAATAAAGTAGCTAATTTGCAGTATTGAAAATTCAATTAAAAAAATGCATTTTCCAAAAAACTTGTCAGCCCAACCCAAGTTGGTAACGGGCTATCATGCTAAAAAAACTTGTCAGCCCAACCCAAGTTGGTGGGCATTGGCTATCATGCTGTGGTTTTGTCATTTATTAGAGGTGGGCATTGGCATTAAGAGATATTGGCCCATGCCATGGAACTCTGTCTTCCTCCTCGGTCCTCTTCTTTTCAACTGGCATGCTCTAAGGATGATATTTCTCTTCACGAGGAACTAAGGTACAGAATTAGCACCTTAAATATACATTAGCATAAGGTAAGTTCGATCAATTTTATTTAAATATAAAAAACATTTTTGACCTTCATAATAAGTAGCTCGAAGATTACGGAGCAGCGGACGCACGTGGCGATTCTTTTAATTTTCAAAAATGTTATGCTATCCCTAGAGCCTAAAATTATTACAAAAAAAATCACTTTGAAGTGACAAATTATTATCCATCAAGTTTTTGAAAAATTGAATATAAAGGTAGTTAAGTGATTATACTACATACTTATTGATGAATGATAATTCATGTTATGCCACCATTCTATTTGAGAAAGCCTTCTGAACTATTGGTTAGGAGAGTTTTCACTTATATATCTCAAGTAATTCTCTAGGTATTTGTTAACAGTTGTGGTCTGCCTATCTGTTTATAGATGCATGTAGAATATTCTAAAATGGATCCACTCCATGATAAACAAATAAATTCTTTCATAATTGACCCAGAAATGTTATGCCCTGCCATTAAGTATGTTTGTAGGCATCCTATATAACTTTTATATATTACAGAACCTTTTCCTGCGAAATGAACGGCTAGTATATATCTGATCAAGAAAGTAATAAAAGGGTCCAAGTAACCGTGGATGTTACTGTTAGTAAAAATCGGACACCCATGTTAATCTAAAAAAAAAGAAAAAGAAAGTAATAAAAGGGTCCAAGTAACCATGGATGTTACTGTTAGTAAAAACGAAAGAGAATATACGTGTGTCACTAAGTAAAAGATACAAAATATGTGTGATGATATCATTAATAGATATCTATATGGACTCCCATGCATTTTTACGACCGTTTTGATGATGTAACTTTTTTATGCTTCTAAATCCCAGAGACAACCTTGCTTATTTTGTTTGTGCTAAATCTCTCTCGACTCTACTTCTTCTGACAATCATATATGACTAGAATTGGGCATGGGTAATTTTTCACCTGAAATGGAACTGAAGAGTCGCCTTCTGTTGGGTATGCGACCAAAGTCCCACATTGGTTAGAAATGGGGAGGATCAAGGGTATATAAGGATGGACAAATATCTCCATTGGTATGAGGCCTTTTGGGTATAACCCAAGAGCAAATCCATGAGGGCTTAGGCCTAAAGTGGACAATATCATACCAATGTGGAGATAAGTGGTGTCCGTAATCCTTACAAGTCCTTACAATATCATATCAGTGGGAAGTTTAATGTTTGAATAATAATAATAATAATAATAATAAAGTAGCTAATTTGCAGTATTGAAAATTCAATTAAAAAAATGCATTTTCCAAAAAACTTGTCAGCCCAACCCAAGTTGGTGGGCATTGGCTATCATGCTGTGGTTTTGTCATTTATTAGAGGTGGGCATTGGCATTAAGAGATATTGGCCCATGCCATGGAACTCTGTCTTCCTCCTCGGTCCTCTTCTTTTCAACTGGCATGCTCTAAGGATGATATTTCTCTTCACGAGGAACTAAGGTACAGAATTAGCACCTTAAATATACATTAGCATAAGGTAAGTTCGATCAATTTTATTTAAATATAAAAAACATTTTTGACCTTCATAATAAGTAGCTCGAAGATTACGGAGCAGCGGACGCACGTGGCGATTCTTTTAATTTTCAAAAATGTTATGCTATCCCTAGAGCCTAAAATTATTACAAAAAAAATCACTTTGAAGTGACAAATTATTATCCATCAAGTTTTTGAAAAATTGAATATAAAGGTAGTTAAGTGATTATACTACATACTTATTGATGAATGATAATTCATGTTATGCCACCATTCTATTTGAGAAAGCCTTCTGAACTATTGGTTAGGAGAGTTTTCACTTATATATCTCAAGTAATTCTCTAGGTATTTGTTAACAGTTGTGGTCTGCCTATCTGTTTATAGATGCATGTAGAATATTCTAAAATGGATCCACTCCATGATAAACAAATAAATTCTTTCATAATTGACCCAGAAATGTTATGCCCTGCCATTAAGTATGTTTGTAGGCATCCTATATAACTTTTATATATTACAGAAACTTTTCCTGCGAAATGAACGGCTAGTATATATCTGATCAAGAAAGTAATAAAAGGGTCCAAGTAACCGTGGATGTTACTGTTAGTAAAAATGAAAGAGAATATACGTGTGTCACTAAGTAAAAGATACAAAATATGTGTGATGATATCATTAATAGATATCTATACGGACTCCCATGCATTTTTGCGACCGTTTTGATGATGTAACTTTTTTATGCTTCTAAATCCCAGAGACAACCTTGCTTATTTTGTTTGTGCTAAATCTCTCTCGACTCTACTTCTACTGACAATCATATATGACTACAATTGGGCATGGGTAATTTTTCACCTGAAATGGAACCGAAGAGTCGCCTTCTTCCCTCTGAACGTCAGGATCCAGCTCCTTCGCCTTCACTCCTTCATCATTTTTCTGGCTATGGGTGTGTGTGACTTGGGCACCCACAGCAATGTTTGTTAATTTCTAGAGACGACCTTGTCATAACCAAAACCTGGCTGGTCCATCGAATAATGTGGACGAGGAACAAATTGTACAGGGACAGCTTCATGATATGGAGGGTATATATACCCAGAGAGCACTGATATTGAGGTGGTGGAAAATGAGAACAAGGAGGCGTAGGACTACAGTAACCAGTGAAGTTACCATGGCCGCAACAGGCATGGCATGGGATCGAGTACCCAGAGTCGTTCACGTGAGCCCAAAATCCATAGAAAGCAGCAGATTTGGATGGATCAACGTGCATACGAGGTGGAATAGCTAGCCCCAGAGGTTGGAAGATGATGCTACATGGAGGGCACATGGTCTCCATTCATGGCGTGTAAGTCCATGTATATCTATGCACAGACATCATTTCCGATAAAGCTTATTCATACCAAGAAGCTTGGTAGATCTTTACCTACCGGGCTGAAATTCCTGACTCAGACTACTAGTAGTCGATGTGTGATGCCACTGAAAAGGAAAAACATTATAGTCAAGCTGACGGTGAACTCTCTGGAATTTTATTGCCACGTATGACCATTTCTTATCGTCCACGTTTCGTGATTTCAAGTTCGATAGTCTAGAATTCTGGGTGGGCCCTTACTTAGTTTATAAGATTTTGAGTAGGCCCATCTAATAAGATCCTATCCTTTGTTTTATTGGACACAATAGCCTAAAAGTTCCCAGCCCATTGGACTTGGATTCAGTTAACAACAGGTACTGTGCAAGTACAACTTCGAAATTTTTACTGACATGTCGTTTTCCTCTTCTTCCCCTACAAACAAAACAGTAACACACCTTCCCCTACTAAGTCATTCTTCAATTATAAAACACCATGGCTTTGAAGCTGCTAAGCAAACTCCGAAATCAGAATCTTCAAATCACTCGAAACCGAAACCACCACCGGCTCCTCGATGCCGCCAGATTCTTCTCTGAAAAGCCAGTTTCGAATCTTTGGACACCAGATGATAGCAAATTTATTATTAAGAGCAAACAGCAAACCACCACATCATCTTTGAAACAGCACGAGCTTGCTAAATTCGCAGCCATTTCTGATACCTGGTTAGCCACAGCTTCTTTTAAAGCTTTCCGTGATTCGATCAATATCAAGATGTTGAGTTCATCTTGTTCTATAATTTATTGAGCAGGTGGGATTCAGAAGGTCCATTTAAACCATTGCATAACATGAACCCTACAAGACTCGCTTTTATTCGCTCCACACTTTGTAGACATTTCAGGTAGATTTACTGCAACTGAGTGAATTATTATTATTTCTTGGATTTTTTTAACCTGTTTTGTTTCTTAATTTTTTGTTTGTTTACTTGCTTCAGTAAGGATCCGAACTGCGCTAGGCCTTTTGAAGGACTTAAAATTGTTGATGTTGGTTGTGGTGGTGGAATTCTTTCGGAGGTAAAGTTATTTTTCTAGAGTATTTCTTAGTGTTCTTGCTAAATTTGTACAGTTCCGACCAGTGGAGGTAAAGTTATTTTTCTAGAGTATTTCGTAGTGTTCTTGCTAAATTTGTACTAGCCAGTTCCGACCAGGTGCTTTCACAAAATGTGAAGCTTCATTTAAGCGATAAAATTTAAAGCTTCATTTATCAGGGTTCTTTCAAATTCAAGTCTAGGATTTAAGCGATAAAATTTGAAGCAAAATTTTGAAAATTTCAAGGCTAGGCGATAGAACTCAAGTGTCTGTCTGTTGTTATCAAGGACGACTGAGTTTTCTGTTGCAACTGAAGCGATAGAATAAAATGTCTTAACAGAAGAAGAATTTTATGGCTTCAACCTTATTCATATAAATCTGTTGCAACTAATGCTAGATATGCTAAGTTTTGATTAATTGAGAAATGAAAAGATTTAGAGGGAATAATGCTATATGTTAGTTTTTGTTTCTCATGCTCCGTAGCTTAGTAAAGAATCCTGAAAAAAAAAAAAAGAGTTGCAAATGCCTGTAAAATATTTCAAGTTCTTATGAACACATCAAATCATTCAATATTTTACTTAGGATTACACACTCACACTAGAACAGAACTGCTGTGGTATTATTGTGATTTCCAATGACTGAATTCGGTACAGTCATCAGTGTGTATACTATGTTTTCTGTTTTTATGCTGGGAAATGATTATATTTATTATTTCCAATCAAAAGCCGTGATAATACTCACCCTTTCCTTTTCTTCTTCAGCCTTTAGCTAGGATGGGAGCAACTGTAACAGGAGTTGATGCGGTGGAGAAAAATATCAATGTTGCACGCCTTCATGCTGTATGATTATTTTATATTTTGAATCACTGAGATCATATTTTATTTAAGATGATTTTCTGGATTATTTATTTTTTGTTGTGGTGATTGCTGCTAACATAGGAAGGTCTTGGCTAATTGGTGTGGAAATAAGGGGCATGGAGCTTAATAGTTACTGGTTCAAAAACGTTCTGTTTTCATTTTTTTTTTTGTAAGGGGCATGGAGCTTAATAGTTACTGGTTGAAAAACGTTCTGTTTTCATTTTATTTTTTTTGTGAAGAAGGTAAATGTCAAAGCTGACAAAAAGACACTATTGCATGCAAGGTGCAATTGCCGAACCCACTCCAGCTGTATGAATTTTATAGGATATTATTAGTATTTGTATGTTTGAGAATATAAACATGTGTCATGTTGTAATATATAAGAAAATATGTTGAAGTGGGGTGTGCTTCTGCCACCTGGCCCTGTAATCAGTGCTAACTCTCTCTCCACCCCTGAAATTGACTTAAACCTATACCTTCTGGGAGGGGGATGGGAGACTGGTGAGGGGTTTGAGTATTTTGGGGCAGAACTGTCAGCCCCAATGCTAGCATATCTAATGCATGCCATATTTAGATAGTATTGGAGTGGCTAACATCGAATTATAAGTTAATTGGTTTTCATAATCATGAGTCTTTTTCTTTCTGATATTTGATAAATCAGTACTCAACTACATTTTTACGTACATTACACCACCTTGATACCCAGCTAAATACCTGAAATGCCAAAATTCAATATCCTCAAGGCTGTTCTAAATCAGGTGGAGCACATATTGCATAATAATATTTATTGTTGAAGAGGGTATTAACTCCAGTTAAACACTTCTTGGTGGCAGATCCTGTTAGCAAATCCTACGAAGTTCAAAACTTTGTTAAGTTTGTGTCATCTCTCACCATGTGAGATGCATCCAGAGTTACCAACGAGCAATGTCCTAAGAAATGGAGTCTGAGGTTTTCTTGTCATATAAAAAGAAATGATAATAACAAAAAAAAAAAAAAAAACCAACCCAAAAAGATCACGGCTTTATTAGTTATGTGGTGTTCAACACCCCCCCCCATCTTAAAATCCACCCAAAGTGTTTAAATAGTGATTTATTTATTCTTTTAGTTTAGATTTCAAAACTAATATTTGCTTTATCTATCCTCACAGGATTTGGATCCAGAGACTTCAACCATTGAATACAGTTGCACAACAGCTGGTATGCTGAATTGCTTTTTCAAATTGATGATGGTGATTTTTTTTTTTTTTTCTGAATGGGAGTTGATGGTACATATGTGAGAATATATTCAATATTCTAGCACTGTTCTTTTGCTCCTCATAATGCTGTTTGGTGGAGAAAAACTAAATGGATCGCACTAATTAGTCCAGATACATTTCATAGACAGCATGGTTTTCTTGGAAAATCTCTAGTAGTCATCTCAGATACAAAGATTTCACATGTATTTTGCATTTAATGTTTATGATTGATTGAAAATACAAGTTCACGTTTGAAATTATTGATCAAACATTCCCAAAGTATTAGAATAAAGGTAATAGTCTGTGAAATTTCTCATCTTTTGTTTCCCATTTCTAATGCTGCTCCATCTGTAATCTTTAGAGTAATTTTTTATGAGTAAATTTTCCTTTCTACAGTATTATCATTAAATTTTTTAGAAACAGGAGTCAATTCATCAACAGAGAAGGAAGCTTATATATACATACAATTTCATGTACAGAAAAACTAGTCGAGGAGCAGAGGAAGTTTGATGCTGTGATTGCACTGGAGGTGCTCTCTCTCTCTCTCTCTCTCTCTCTCACACACACACACACACACACACGCACACACAGAGAACACTCAGCATGCCATGTACATGGATCCCATCTGGTAGTTCCTTGTGTAGGTTTGCAATCTCCCTATATTTTTTTTTTTAAATCTCTAATTTCTATCCAAATAATCAGGCTTTCTGATTTTCACTGCAGGCAATAGAAGCTGACTCTTTATTGCAATCATACATTTTGTTATCCCTGTTTTTCTTTCTCCTGTCCTATATGCCCAAGTATTGATTCTGAATCTGGGGGTGGAAAATGCAGAATTTTGGTGAAATCTAGAGTTGATTATTAACTGTGGCATTATTGTGAAAAATAATGGTAGGTTGGATGGAATACTACTGTCCATTCCATAATCTGGTTCAAGAAGATTATTCTCTCAGATAGCTAAGATCCCAAAGAATATTCTGCATCTAGCATAGATGTTTGCAGTTGCCTATTTTAAAAATTCTATCTATACAAATCTAGTTTGCTTAGCTGCGTGCTCAAGGATTCTCTCTTTCTGACCTTTTCAGTTTAGTTATTACCTCAGTCTGTAATTTTACTACCCTGCATGTTTCCAGACTTGCAGCCATAAGGGCAGATTACTAAATTCACTATATATTAACCATGTAGAGAACTGTCTCTTAACTTAGAACTACTTCCTGAATGCCAAATGCTTCATCATGAAGCAAGCTATCTTGCAGAGGTGGCAGGTATCATAGAGAGGTTATATTCTGCTTCAATGAAAAAGGAGAGGTTGAGTTGCTTGTGCAGCACAAGACACTCTGGATAAATTGGTTGAAGGAAATGATGCTATTATCATAGATTGGGATAAAACAACTACAGTTCAGTAGAATTATTGTCTGCAAGGAAGTAGAGAGTGTATAACATGCTCTCCTTTCTTGCAAGCAAAAGTAAAGAGTTAACAATGACAACAGTACGATAGTGTATCACAGCTTTTGAATCATAACCATACATTAGAATCCAATTGCTGACGTGTAGAAGAAACATATTTAGCCATGGCATAAATAACATGCCCGTTTTATTAATCTATGCTGCATGAACATGTGGAATATCATATACCACTCATATAGGCATGGATCATTTTGCTGCAAATTCAATCTTGAAATGACTTAAGAATCCTCCTGCAATTTTAGTGCATATGAATGGATTTTGATAATGTGATGAAAACCTTCCCAAGGGATACTATATGACAAAACTCAGATATTAATGTCAGACAATTTCATCATACTCTTCTAATCATTTCAGCATTGGCAGCCAATTTGTTTGTAAGATAATTTTTTTATCTGAAGGTAATTGAGCATGTGGCAGCTCCTGCTGAATTCTGCAAGTCGCTGGCAGCACTGGCTTATCCTGGTGGAGCCACTGTAATATCAACAATTAATCGTTCTATGAGAGCGTATGCGACTGCCATTGTTGCAGCAGAGTACCTTCTCAATTGGGTATGGTTCTTGCTCATTCTGGTATCTTTGTGCATGTTGTTGATTTCCATGTGGAGATCTTTGCTTGCTTGCAAATCATTTACTTTATTTGTTGTACCTGGTCATGCTTCAGAATGTATTATATTTTTAACTTGCATCTGTTAAATATGTCAATACTCGTGTATTTTCACCTACTTTTTGCTTGGGAATTCATCTCTAAAATGACAGGCACATAGCAGTATGTAAATTTTCAACATTCCTGGCTCTCAGTATAGTGGAGACCACTATTTTCAATGTGTTTCAAACTTTTTCATGCTTCACATCAGCTTGTCATAAATTTTCTCCAACATAAGTTGCAGTTATAGTTTTAGGTTGTGGACATTCCAACTTTACTATTTTGTTTTAGTTAACATGACCATGATCCATCCTTTACGTGGTATTGAAGTGTTGTGGGGTTTAAATGTTCACAACAGTCGAATCATGCCATAAAAATTTGTTTCGGAATAAGAGGTGTGATATAAACAGATGAGAAACCTAATCTAAAATCCCACAGTTTTCACTGGTAATGGAACTGTTCTAGCATTTTATGACTTATTTTTCCTATAGCAAAGGACTTTGTGTCTAGGAATATCCAGTGCATGCAACTTCTTATCGCTGTAGTTGGTGGTGGAGGTGGTGTGAAGGTTTTAGTCTTCCCAAAATTTCTGGAAGTAATTTGTCGATGTATTATAGTTTGATTCTATCCTTCTGTTTGCTTTGTGTTGTTACTGAACCAATGCTGCACAGCTTCCTAAAGGCACGCATCAGTGGTCAAGCTTTCTTACTCCTGAAGAACTGGTGCTTATCCTACAGCGTGCTTCTATCAATGTAAGATGGATGCTTTCCCTTCTGACATTTTGACATGTCTACTAGTGTTACTTCTTAGCAAAAACTTATTGCTTTGGGTTTGGTGCTTGCCAGGTTAAAGAAATGGCTGGATTCGCTTACAGCCCCTTGACTGGGCGATGGTCTCTATCTGATGATATTTCTGTGAACTTCATAGCCTATGGTACCAAAGATGGTCAATGATGAGAACTGCATACAAAGACAGGCATGCTGATTAAAAGTTTTGCTCTTAGGTATTTTATTTACTCATTCGTTGCTTCTGTCTAGTCGCAAATAATTTTCATCTTGCTCTCTTCGTTACTAGTACTGAATGTGAGCATAAAAAAACAAAATGCTTTGGAAACTGTCCTCAAACCCAAAATTTTAAGCCACAACAAGGAGCTCTAGCCTCGAGCTTTATGACTTGCTCCAAGACATCAATCAGCACTTACGACCTGGTTAAGTAGACAACAATGAAGTAGCTTTTAAGTCCTTTTTACCGGACCACTTTTGGTCCATGGGTTATCTAGAGGAGCAGGACCTAGATAGAAAAATTTAAGTGAATAGACGATAATGAAATGGGAATCACTAGGTCACTGAGAGAAATGGAAAAGGAGGTCTTACATTTTGCAGAGAGAATACTTAGGCAATACCCTCTCAAGGTTTCACAATTGTCAGTGTTGCTATACCTAAAGCAACCTTGTCATCTTAAGGTGAGTAAAATTTACTTTCTGGTCCTCAAAAAATGATCCTGGCCCAAATATACGAAGCATATAGCTGAATAACATATATTTTGTTCTAAGTAGCCTCAAACAATTTGTATTTTGGAGCTACCCTTCAGTTCGCCGTATGTTTCTTATTCCTCAAACTCATTGGCACACCTAAACTCAAGGATTGGGAAATCAATTTAGCTGGTCACCGTGATCAAGTTGCCAAAAATTCTCCAAGGAGTAAAAAATTGCCAAAATCAAGCCGTTAAAATCGTGCCTTCTATTGGAGGTCGTTTCATTATCGGCTGATGATGCTAGGAGTGTTGCAGACTATGGGACAACCTCCTAGGAGGAGGACAGTGGAATTCGCGACCGCAAGGTGGAACTACCTATGCTGCACTTGCTAGAAGATTGTCCGAGCGAAGCCGAGGCGGCAAATAAGTTAACAGCTTCACCACGATGGCCGTTCCCCGATCACTGGCTCAATGGCTTACTTTCAACAGGGCTATTTGACCATGTTTGGATTCAATGGCTTGCCACTGGTTTGAGCCATGGAATATTAGGCTTGCCACCAAGGTTCTGTCTCTATTGGAAGTGGCTGGAAACCACTTCCTCACCGCAGCCTATAATGTGCAAGGTTGACTGAGACAGGCACCGGAATTCCCCATCCCTTCGGGTGCAAATTTTTTGAGATGGTTCGGAATCAACATCAAACATTAGTTTTCTTTGATATAATAAAGAACAGTAAAAACTTTTCGTGAATGTTGCCCAGCCTTTTTCATGGAAAATTATGTAACAGCTTGCAAGGTTGGGTAACTTTCGAACTACAAGTGGTTCCCGCATTAAAGCCAGTCATGTCAATCCGCTCCATATTAACTATCAGATTTTTTTCCTATTAAGTGATCACGGCCAACTTTTAATTGTTTTGAGAATTCGTAGTTCTCATCAAATGTTTCGTGCCTGGATTAAAAAAAAAAAAAACAAAGGGAAGACGACTTTGTTTAAAATGGTTACGGTTAATTTAACCATTATTCTTTCTTCACCCTGACCACGGTCGCGTGATAAGAGTGTGTGAACAGGGCCTCAGCCAAACCAAGAGTCAACATGGGTGAAATAAATTACAACCAAACATATTCAAAGGTATGGCATCCAACACGCGTGATTCCGTCGAGGGCTGCTTTCACACAGGCATCATTGGTTCACAGCCTAGGCATACCCTCTTGTTCTTTTCTCTTGGGTTACAACAATGGTCACTAAACTCTAATCACGGACCGAAGCCCTCTCACCTTTTGGGCTGCTTGCTTCAGTTGTCAAATCACATGCTGGAGACATAGCGGCCTATTGAGCACAAGACGAGAAGGTAACTTTCCTTTAACTTTCGGCAATGACCAAACACCTCAAATCAATTTAGCTGGTCACCGTGATCAAGTTGCCAAAAATTCTCCAAGGAGTAAAAAATTGCCAAAATCAAGCCGTTAAAATCGTGCCTTCTATTGGAGGTCGTTTCATTATCGGCTGATGATGCTAGGAGTGTTGCAGACTATGGGACAACCTCCTAGGAGGAGGACAGTGGAATTCGCGACCGCAAGGTGGAACTACCTATGCTGCACTTGCTAGAAGATTGTCCGAGCGAAGCCGAGGCGGCAAATAAGTTAACAGCTTCACCACGATGGCCGTTCCCCGATCACTGGCTCAATGGCTTACTTTCAACAGGGCTATTTGACCATGTTTGGATTCAATTTTATATGCGAGTATATTCAAGCAATCCTCACAATTTTTAGAAATCTTGGAACCTATGGACACCATCTATTACTGCTGCTGGTAAGTTTTTAGTTGGGCTGCCAGCTTCCCATGCGGCTGCTGGCAGTGTTTACGTGCCAACAAATCCGCTCATATTACAAGTGCTACCTTTTGCGAAGGCTGCTTCAACATATGGGTGTCATGCTTCGAGACAAGTACAACGATGATCACTGATTCACTACAAAAATGCTTGGATAATGCAAGCCTTTTGTTTTTACCAAAAAAACTTAGATTATTGATTTAAATGTGTTTAATAAGCTTGATTAATTTAAATACCAAATGTTTCGTGCCTGGATTAAAAAAAAAAAAAACAAAGGGAAGACGACTTTGTTTAAAATGGTTACGGTTAATTTAACCATTATTCTTTCTTCACCCTGACCACGGTCGCGTGATAAGAGTGTGTGAACAGGGCCTCAGCCAAACCAAGAGTCAACATGGGTGAAATAAATTACAACCAAGCATATTCATGGGTATGACATCCAACACGCGTAATTCTGTCCAGTCCTGCTTTCACACACAGGCATCATTGGTTCACAGCCAAGACATACCCTCGTGTTCTTTATAAATAAAAATTGATAATGTAAAAAAAATTATGAATAGTAAATTAAATAAAATTATGAAACCTAATTATCAAATAACCTAATATTAAAGAGTAAAATTAATAAATAAATAAAGCAATAAAAAAATCTGAGTCAATATAGGTTAATTCGCTAACCTTGTGATCCTAAACACATGATTGAGATAACTTTATAGAAAGGAAAGCAAACTAAAAAAGCATGAAAATTAATTTTTAATAAATTAAATATTAAAGTAAGAAATTTAAAAAAATTAATTTTAAAAAAAATCTAAAAGGTATCAAAATCAACTCATGTTAACTTTTAAAATTTGTGACCTTGGTCATAAGTTTGAAATTAACCCCTTGGAAGGAAAACTTATAAAAATAACACAATAAAATTTTAAATCAATAAAATATTGAAGGATAAAATTAAAAAAATATATAATAAAAAATAATCTAAAACAAAAGACATAGCAATAAAAGTAAAAAGGATTAAATTTGATATAAAAATAATTTGAAATCAAATATTAAGGAATAAAATTAAAACAAAATTGAATTAGAAAAAAATAAACAAACAATAATAAAAAAAAATAAGGAATCAAATTTGATATAAAATTTAAATAAAACTAAATAATGATGGACAAAATTGAAGAAAAAATAAATAAATAAAATAAGAAAACAAAATAAATAAAAAATAATAATGATAAGATTAAATAAAAAAGAAATAAAATGACATGTTTATATGTCCATTAAAGCTTAATTACTACTATATTATGTACATACATAAATTATGATGAAATGTTTTTATTATTATCCTAAAAAATGGTGTTTAGATATAAAATAATATTGCATGTGTTATCTTTTTATTGATGCGTGTATAGCATATACTATCAAATTTATTTAAAAATAATATTTAGATTTGTTGAAAAATCAAATCGTTATTTATTAGCCTTTTAACAAATTTTGCATATAAAAGATTAAAAAATAAAAACACCAAATTGCTCGTAATCTACCTTTTAAAAACTTTCGTGTCGGCTTAGTTATCCATTCACACTGAATTCCAATTATTCATAAAGAATGCGGCGTTACACTTTCAAAGTTTCAAAGCTTCGGTATTTGTTGGAGCCCATGCTGCTTAGAACAGAAAGAGTAGTACATCTTAAGTGGGAGTTGATCGGACCACCTTGGAAGATGAGTTGAGAAATTGGTGTGAAAACTACGAGTGGATTTCTTGCTCGTGAGCTCCTTTTCCACAAATGTGCTGACTTTTTTTAAAAAAAATTATTGGGAATATTCGGATTAGTTTATATAATTAATTTTATAAATTTTAAAATTAATAATTATATAAATTTTTAATAATTATCATATAAACAATTAAAAACTCGAATTTAAACCACAGATATATTACCTTGCAAGCATGGATCATGCTAAGAAATCATTCTTACAGGTTTTCGATTACTATAGGAGCTTCCCCTTCTTTCACTTGTTCTCTCCAATATTTTCCAATTTCAGTGTGAAATTGGAATTTGGAATTAATTACTTAATGCTCTTTAGTGCTTGACCTTCATCCACCTTACATGGGATAAGTCATCCACCATCCCTCAAGCTCAAGCTCCCTGTGGATTTTTTTTTTTCCC